GTTATTTATCTGGGTGTTCCTTTTGCCATAAGGGTATTTCTTCCAAGTCCATTGCCACTCATAGACGTTCTGGTACACTCGCTACAATGGCAACCCTAAACTCTGTTGGTGCTTGTCGTTCTGGTTTTTCTCTGCTGCTCAGTTCACGATTGTATAAGACCTTTGTCCGCCCAAAGTTTGAATATGGTTTGGCGATCTCCACTCTACTGAAACAAGATATCAAAGTGCTGGAGTCCATTCAAGATAAGTGTCTTCGCATGATTGTTGGGGGGCATGCCACGTCCTCTACAATTGTGTTAAAGCACATCTGCAATCTGCCAAGTATGAAGTTTCGTGCCGATGCTCTTATGGCCAAGTTCTGTATAAGATCACGCTTTTTGCCAGCCCAGTGCCTTCTGTCTCTTTTGCACCGTCATCATACCGTCTATTCTTCACTTGTCTCCTTGGGAAAAACCCATCTTCTGTCCAATCTCCCTCCAACACTCAAACTTCGAAGCCCTAGTGCTGTAAAAAATCATTTTGAAAGCATTAGAGAAGCTGGATTTGCAACCTTTCTCCAGTCCAATACGCAAGTTCTCATTCAAGCATGCCGCCCAGTTCTTGGAGTTGATCCAATCTTGTTTTTGCCAGCCTCACGTGTGGAACGTAGCCGTTTGATTCGTTGGAGAATGGGGTGGTTACCAGGCAAACCAAAGGAATGTCCTTGTGGATCAGATCACACCTCACGCCGCCATTTGTTGGATTGCCCACTTGTTCCTATGGCACTATTTGAACAGTTGCCTCAACCTGACCAAGATCAGATACACAGAATTGATTTTGCCATCACATCCTTGCCTTTGTCATCTCAAGAACCGCGACCTGCTTACTGGATACCACTGCTGACTATTCTCTGGCACATAGATGTTATATGTAATCCTGATGGTGACTATTCACATGAGACTGAACATGGTGCTCTTTGGATATAATTTAGACTTTTTCTTTTCTTTCATAGCTCTTCACTTTCCATTGTTCTTTACTCCCTTTATCTCTCTTCTTTCTCTTTTGTTCTTTGCTGTCTGAAAAGTTCTTTGTTCTGCAATTCTGTCTCCTCCCTTTCACTGTTACAACTATTTTCACAGCTGCAAAGTGGAGAGCAGATTCAGCCATTGAAGCTAGTATGATTTGATCTTCTCTTTCCCCTCTCTTTTTTTTGTCTTTTGTGATCCCTTAGGACTTTTTTATATCTTCTTTTTGTACTTTGGAGGCTATATGATCTATAGATCGCCAGCAATATCTCCTTTAATAAAATATAATCTTTAACCTGAGCTACATCCCCACTGCTCTTTCGCTTAAGCATTTTATTTGCCTGGTTCCCAAATTTTATTTTTGACGAATCCACATATAAAGTGTATCCATCCATCAACATCTTTACGCAAAACGATCCATCCATCACGAAAAACGTACCTCCCATTGCCAAAAGTAGTGCAGTCCTTGTCCTTGGTATCCCAGCTGTCAGTAAAAAAATTTCAGCTCAATCAGACAACATCACGCCATCTGCATTCTCAATCCCAATGGCCAATTTGCAAATCGGCAACATGCAGGGATTGCCAACTGAGCTTACCTCATTCCTGACAACATTGCAGGCAAAAATCATGAATGTGCAAAACAGAACCGACCAGTTGGAGCGACTTGCAGCAGAGAATGCAAGACTAACTACTGAATTAGACCATGCTAGAACAACAATTGCTAATCTGCAGAAGCAATTAGGATCTCAGAGTGCACCTGAAAAAAACTTTTCAGAAATTTCACTTTCGAACCCAGCCGGAGCAGTAGGTGCTCCTGACAAAAACAAAGAACCAGGTCTGGAAGCCTCCACTTGGGCTACTAAAGCCAGTGTTTCTCTTTCTGTAACTGCCCCAAAAATGTCTACTGTTCCCTCTGCTCGCCGTATTGCAGCTTCTGTTCGTATGTTTGCTCTTCCCTCTGGTCCTTCAGGTTATGAATATGTCTATATTCCAAGATCAAGACGCCTTAAGCACAAAGAAGTCCGTTCCTCTCTCCGCACTCTTGGTGTGGATTCTTCTCGACTTTTGGACATTAACTTCCCAGCCAGAGGTGTCATTGGCATCCTTGTTCATGTCCAGTATGCTGATACATTTAAGGCCAAACTGACAACTGCTTCTGTTGAGATTTTGGACGCATTTGATCCACTTGATCCTGATAATGTTGCTGATCCCAAGTATGCATCTCTGTCCACTCATGAACTTGCCAACACTGCTGCCATGCTTCACCATGATAGATGTCTCCAAGCCCTACAGTTCTTGCGCCCACACATTGCTATCCCAGTTGGTCACTTCTTTTGTGAGGAAGGGTGGATCAGTGAAGATGAAATACCAACACGTACTACTCTTACCAATGCTACTGGCGGGTCTTTGTTCAAACGTCAGCGCAGCTCATCAGTCACTATGTCTGAATGAGTAATCTCAATATCGGATTATGGAATGCCAATGGCCTGCAACCCAGAGCCATTCAAGATACCCTTCAACACTGTCAGTCCTTACATATGCTCTTCATTACAGAAACATGGCTTCTCTCTCCCTCACATCTTCCCACATCATGGTCACAAATTCACTTGTATGGGTCTCCTGTAGCTGGCACCTATAGGGGCTCTATGGGTGTTTCTGTTCTCATATCACCTCACTGTCCTTATGCCGTCACTCAAATACCTATGCCCTCCAAATATGCTCTGGCTGTCAAAATTGGCTCACTCAGAATTGTATGCTTATATCTTCCACCAAATATGCCCACTCATGATGTCCTACATGTACTCTCTTCCATTCCTTTAACACATGATACCATTCTTTGTGGTGACTTCAATGCAAGACTTGGCTCTGTTACTGGTGACTATGCATCAAATTGTCGTGGACTGGCACTATGTTCTTGGATAGAAGAGAGATCTCTATCAGTTGTAAATGCAGATCTTGCACCTTGCATACCAACATATATTTCTTTCCGCAACAACTATGAAATCAGCAGTATTATTGACCTCTTTATAACTAATATGCCACTCATCAATCCTTCTCTTCATATTGCTACTGACTTGTCTCTTGGATCAGATCATCGCCTTTTATCACTTTCCTTTACCTATGATCTACAGCACTCTACCAATATGCCACCACCATTACGCAAGACATGGAACCTCTCACGCCTCAATGAACCTGATGTCCATGCTCTTTATGCTCATACCTTCAATCAAAACTCGACCTCCCTCCTTTCCACCTTGCAAGACATTGTACAGAATCCACCACTCACTAGACCCAACATTGATGCTATCACTGATGAGTTCAATTTACTCATTTATGACTCATTAAATAGCTCAATTGGACATCGACCCTCTCGCCCAAATCATTGGAAATCCTTCTGGAATGTAGCTTTGCAAACAGCAGCAGATCGTCGTAACCAATGTTACAAAAAATGGCGCCTGGCAATAGGTATTGACAAAGTTGTTTGGTGGACTAAACACAAGCATGCACAGGCCGAATTCCGATCTCAGGTTCAGCAAGCAAAACGTCAGTCTTGGCATGTCTTTTGTCAGTCTATGGAACGTGACTTCAGCAAAGCAACATCAAAGATAAAGCAGTTAAAACGCCGTAGACAGCCGCAACATACTTTCCAGCACGATGATGGACCAGCCGTAGCAGCAGCAACAATGTGTGACTATTTGGCAACAGTATATAGTGGACATATACTTCCAGCAACCCGACCACCAGCACCAATGACCACTTGTAACAGTGTGCCTTTTGCCTCTGATGACTCTCCCTTTACCTCACCAATTGTAGAGGAATTCATGCAATTTATGCCTAACCGCAAGGCACCAGGACCAGACCATATCAGAGCTGAAATGCTAAAACCTATAAAAACACATGTCTCACCCATTCTTACTTTATTATTTACAGTTTGCTGGCAATGGTCATATGTTCCAAGTTTGTGGCGCCAAGCCCAGGTCTTCCCAATCTTCAAGAAGGGTAGTCCAACTGACCCGGCAAACTACCGACCAATCTCCTTGACCTCTGTACTGCGTAAGCTTTTTGAGATGTGTATAGCCCCCCAGTTGCACAAGTACTCTCCTCCTTTGGATGTGGCTCAAGGTGGTTTTCGTCCTCGCCGTGGTGCTTTGGATCAAGCTCTCTGTCTCCATGATCTGATGAAAGCCTATTATCACCGTCATAAGCACTACCCTGTTGTTGCATTTCTGGATATCAAGGCTGCCTATGATACAGTGGATCGACGAATCATCTGGCATGCTTTACAAAAACGTTGCACTCCACCGGCACTTTTGGGTCTCTTGGTTAACATGTTTGACAATGTCTCTATCTGTGTCCTTTTGGGTAACTTTTCTTCACACTCGTTCTCACCTGCCACTGGGGTTCTCCAAGGTTCTGTCCTCAGTCCACATCTGTATTCAATATATATCAACTCCCTGCCCCCATTGCTCCGCACAGTTGCTCACTCACAAACTACAACCCATGTTCCATCACCCTCTCCTACCTCATTGGATGCATATAATGCTCTTCTTGCTCCTTCAGGTGTAGATGGCTTTGGACATATTCATTTCTCAACACCCATCAATTCTCTGCTCTTTGCCGACGATGTAGCTATTTTTGGTTCTCTTTCAGACGTTCAGGCCATGCTAGACCTTGCTGCAGACCACTCTTTTACTCTTGGATATCGATGGAGCCCCACCAAATGTGAAGTTATATATCCCAAAACACGTGCAAGCTCGCCAGTTTCTCTTCTTTTATATGGTCAAGTTCTCCCTGCCACTGACCTGTTTATTTATCTGGGTGTTCCTTTTGCCAATAAGGGTATTTCTTCCAAGTCCATTGCCACTCATAGACGTTCTGGTACACTTGCTACAATGGCAACCCTAAACTCTGTTGGTGCTTGTCGTTCTGGTTTTTCTCTGCTGCTCAGTTCACGATTGTATAAGACCTTTGTCCGCCCAAAGTTTGAATATGGTTTGGCAATCTCCACTCTACTGAAGCAAGATATCAAAGTGCTGGAGTCCATTCAAGATAAGTGTCTTCGCATGATTGTTGGGGGGCATGCCACGTCCTCTACAATTGTGTTAAAGCACATCTGCAATCTGCCAAGTATGAAGTTTCGTGCCGATGCTCTTATGGCCAAGTTCTGTATAAGATCACGCTTTTTGCCAGCCCAGTGCCTTCTGTCTCTTTTGCACCGTCATCATACCGTCTATTCTTCACTTGTCTCCTTGGGAAAAACCCATCTTCTGTCCAATCTCCCTCCAACACTCAAACTTCGAAGCCCTAGTGCTGTAAAAAATCATTTTGAAAGCATTAGAGAAGCTGGATTTGCAACCTTTCTCCAGTCTAATACGCAAGTTCTCATTCAAGCATGCCGCCCAGTTCTTGGAGTTGATCCAATCTTGTTTTTGCCAGCCTCACGTGTGGAACGTAGCCGTTTGATTCGTTGGAGAATGGGGTGGTTACCAGGCAAACCAAAGGAATGTCCTTGTGGATCAGATCACACCTCACGCCGCCATTTGTTGGATTGCCCACTTGTTCCTATGGCACTATTTGAACAGTTGCCTCAACCTGACCAAGATCAGATACACAGAATTGATTTTGCCATCACATCCTTGCCTTTGTCATCTCAAGAACCGCGACCTGCTTACTGGATACCACTGCTGACTATTCTCTGGCACATAGATGTTATATGTAATCCTGATGGTGACTATTCACATGAGACTGAACATGGTGCTCTTTGGATATAATTTAGACTTTTTCTTTTCTTTCATAGCTCTTCACTTTTCATTGTTCTTTACTCCCTTTATCTCTCTTCTTTCTCTTTTGTCCTTTGCTGTCTGAAAAGTTCTTTGTTCTGCAATTCTGTCTCCTCCCTTTCACTGTTACAACTATTTTCACAGCTGCAAAGTGGAGAGCAGATTCAGCCATTGAAGCTAGTATGATTTGATCTTCTCTTTCCCCTCTCTTTTTTTTGTCTTTTGTGATCCCTTGGGACTTTTTTATATCTTCTTTTTGTACTTTGGAGGCTATATGATCTATAGATCGCCAGCATTATCTCCTTTAATAAAATATAATCTTTAACCTGAGCCAAGAAGGCGGGAATGTCACCCGATCTCGCCTTATTTCTGGGGAACATGCAGGCCCAATTCATGTCACTACAACAACGTACCAAT